TTGTCTGGTGTTATTTTTGGTGGCTGAATTTGGATGCCTAGATTGAAAAAAAAAGCCACCTTATGCCAGGCTTGTGCCAAAATCATAAACTTATCATTATTGCTGCCGTTACATTCCTGGAAATGGCCCAAGATGCCATAGCAGTGTGTCTGCATTGATTTTGCCAGCCTCTTTGAGGATCAAGTACTGCTGATGATAGATGATGCTCATTCTAAGTGGCCGGAGTTGATAGTAATGACATTCATTGTTCAAGGTCAATTTCTCAGTTCCAGAAAATCTCTGCAGGAATTCCTCAGGGTAGTGTTCGTGATCCAACCATCTTAAATACTCCACCATAAGGACTACAGCGGGGATGTTCTGGTGACTACAATGTTCAGGACCATTTGCGGCCCCACAGATGTAGAAGCAGTCCATATGCAAATACAGCAAGGCCTGGACAATATCTGTCCATGGGCTAACAAGTACCAAGGAATGAGCATCTCCAACAAGAGAGAACCTAACCATTGCCCCTTGACATTCAATGGCATTAACCATTGCTGAATCCTTCAATATTAACATCCTTTGGGGTGCTAATGACCAGGAACAGAACTGAAGTAACCGTATAAATGTAGAAGCATTAAGGGCAGGTCATAGTCCAGGAATCTTGTAGCGAGTAACTCACCTCTTAACTTCCAAAAGCCTATCCACTATCTACAAGGCACAAGACAGAAGTGTGACAGAATACTTCCCACTTTTTTAGATGAGTACAACTCCAGTAACATACAAGAAGCTTGCCACCATTAAGACAAAGAACCCTATTTGGTAGGCATTACATCCACAAATGTTCATGCTCTTTACCAATGATCATAGAATCACTACAGTGTGGAAGGAGACCATTTGGCCCATCGAGTCTGAACTGATCCTCTGAAGAGCATTCCTCTCAGACTTAGCTCCCTATCCCTGCAACACTACATTTTACCATGGCTAATCCACCGAACCTGCACATTCTGGACACTAAGGCGAAATTTTGCATGGCCAATCCACCTAAACTGCACAACTCGGGACTGTGGGAGGAAACTACAGCAACCGGTGGAAACCCATGCAGACACAGAGAATACGCAAACTGCACACAGACAATCACCCAAGCCTGGAATCGAACCTGGGTCCCTGGCACTGCAAGGGACCACTGAGCCACCGTGCTGCCCTACTGATGCACAGCAGTAGTAGTGTGTAACACCTACAAAATGCACCACAGAAATTTATCAAGGCTCCCTAGATGCACCTTTCAAACACGTGATCACTACCATCTAAAAGGACAAGACAGCAGATACATGGGAATAATACCACCTCCAAGTTTCCCTGTAAGCCACTCACTATCCTGATTTGGAAATATATCACCATTTCTTTAGTATAGCTGGGTCAAAGCCTGGAACTCCCCTCTTATAAGCTGTGAGAGCACCTACATCAAATGTACCACGGTAGTTCAAGAAAGTAGCTCAGCACCACGTTCTCAAGAGCAAATTGGAATTTTCAATAAATGCTGGACCAGCCAGTGACATCCATATCCCATGAATGAATAAAAAGAATCTTAATATCATGGAAAGAACTAAATTGGCTTATGATTGGCATCTGTGATGGTGGGAGGTCTCAGGAGGCTGAAAAAGGTTGCTGGGTGACAACCAGTCAGAAATGTTTTAGTCCATAATTTGACCTGGTGCCATGAGACTTCATAAGATCCACAGTCAATTTGAAAACTCCCAGGGCAAATCATAGATCATAGATCATAGATCATAAATCACAGAATCCCTACAGGGTGGAAACAGGCCCTTCGGCCTGACAAGTCCATACTGACCCTTGGAGCATCCCACCCAGACACATCCCCTTGTAACTCACCTAAGCTACACATCCCTGAACACTATGGGCAATTTAGCATGGCCAATCCACCTAACCTGCACATCTTTGGACTGTGGGAGGAAACCGGAGTACCCGGAGGAAACCCATGCAGACAGTGAGAATGGGCAAACTCCACACAGACAGTCACCTGAGGGTGGAATCAAACCCGGGTCCCTGGCGCTGTGAGGCAGCAGTGCTAACCACTGAGCCATCGTGCCACCCCTCCTTCTCAACGTATAGATTGATCATCCCCTTGTTACTTCTGGCTGAAGGGGGTTGCAAATGCTTTCTCCTTGTCTTCTGCAAGCAATTATTGATGCCCCATCATTGACACTGGGGATGTCTGTGGAACATCATCCTCCAGTCAGTTCTTGAATTATCTAACTCAGAGGAAGTGGTGGAAGCAGGTACAATTACAACATGTAAAAGGCATCTGGACAGATATATGAATAGGAAGGATTTAGAGGAATATGGGCCAAATGTTGGCAAATGGGACTAGATCAGTTTAAGATATCTGGCTGGCATGGACGAGTTGGACCAAAGGGTCTGTTTCCATGCTACATAACTCTATGACTGGATGTAACAGGCCTTCAGTGATTTGACCTGATCTGCTGGTTGAGGGATTGTTTGGGTCGGTCTATTGGATGCTGCTTCCACTCTGAGTTGAAAATCTCTCCAGAATACATTTCAAGAAATCTGCCCTTTCTAAAACCTTTACACTATGACTATCCCAATTACAGTTGGGGAAGTTGAAAACCCTATTGTAATTACATTCTTATGGTTTTTACACACCTCAGTAAATTGGCTACATAATCTGCTCCACTACTGACCGTTGACTGTTTAGGCATCCATTAGGCACTCCCAACCATGTGACTGCCTGCTTTTTAATTCTCCTAAACTCTACTCACAAAGCCTCATTTAAAGACTCTTCAAAAAAATCTTCCCTTTTCACTTCAGTAACTTACTTTTCAATTAATAATGCAACATCACCTCCTCTTTTACACCCTCCCTGTCTTGCCTGAAGATACATTACTCTAGAATGTTGAGTTGCCAGTCCTGCCCCTTCCTCAATAATGTCTCCATTGTTGTTAATGTTTTAACTGAGCTTGTTAAAAGCTCAATTTACCCAATATTACCCTAATCATGCCATAATGCAGTTCACGGAGCATGTGGGAGGGATTCGGTAGTCTGATTCCTTTTTCAAAGTTTATGATATGGCAGGAAGGAAAGTGGGGTACTATCTTTAGAGGATGCCCTTTGACAATTGTGTCACCTACTGAGAAGACAGTAATTCCCCCACTTTTTTCCTACCTGTCAACACCTCTAAACCCACTTCTAAAATGCAACACTAAAGAACTCTTCCTTCAAGTGGGCAAACCCTTTCTTCCAAATACCCCCGACTAAACTCACTGCAGGATCAATGGCTGTCATTTTCCTGGAGTTGCTTGATGTACTGGCAGCATCCACTATTGATTCTTGGCATTGTATAGTACAGTATGGAAACAATGTTTACAATATGCTAATAAAATATCGTGCATATTTTGATACATTATTGATCAACATTGAAGATGTTTAAGACATGCAAGATATACTGGAAAGCATTCCCTCTATTTGTTATATGATCTTTAAATAGTGAATAGAGGACACATTCTCTCTTGAAAATATTTGCATTCATAAGTTGTTCAGATATTTGATATTATATTTCTTTGATTAATACCAGTTCAGCTGAAAAGTCTCCTTCATATTTCATTCTTTAACTCAATGTAACCAATTTTCTTTGAAAGAGGGGTACAATGCATGTTTTTACAAACCATCACATCTACAATAGGAAATCACTAAGGTTCTAGTACAACTTCAACTGGTTCCATCAACAGTGCTGAGAGCAGCTGAAAATGGAAGCATTTTGAGGCTTTAGGTTTCATGATATAGTAAATAGTAAGAGTGAGTTAGAGGGTTTTATGACACATAAACATAGAACAGAACAGCACAGGAATGGGCCCTTCAGCCCACAATGTTGTGCTGAACATGAAATTAACTAATCCCTTCTGCCTGCCCTCGGTCCATATCCCTCCATTCCTTGCATATTTATGTGCTTATCTAAAAGCCCATTAAATGCCCCTATCGTATCTATGTCCACCACCACTGCTGGCAGCATGTTCCAGACACCTCTACGTAAAAAAAACCTGCCCCTAACATCTCCTTTGAAACTTCCCCCTCTCACCTTAAATACATGCCCTCCAATATTAGACATTTCAACTCTGGGAAAAAGATTCTGACTGCCAACTCTATCTATGCATCTCATAATTTTATAGACTTCCATCAAGTCTCCCCTCAGCCTCCACCGCTCCAGTGAGAACAACCCTGGTTTTTCTAGTCTCTTCTTATAGCTCGTACCCTCTAATCCAGGCACCCTCTCCAAAGCTTCCACATCCTTCCTGTTATGTGGCGATTAGCCTGAATGCAATGCTCTAAGTGTGGCATAACCAAAGACTTATAAATTTGCAACATGACATCCTGACTCTTGTATTCAATGTCCTGACCAATAAAGGCAAACATGCTAAATGCCCTCTTTACATAAAGATTTACATAAATTGTCAGAGCAAAGCTGGATAGGTTGACAAATGCTGTTTGGTGTTATTGTTCTGCCATTATAGTGGTATTTTTGGTTACATTTTTGTTTTATTTGTGGTTATAATAATTCATTTTGCTGCTTACAGTTCTAATTTGATGAATGGTACATCCAACAATATAATTGTGAAACTGTATCATTGCTTAATTACACGAAATTTCTAAGGCACATTTTATTAAAAGCAGAGCTTGTTGTCAAACACACAGCTTTAGTGCGAGAGGTTTCTCACTTGGAGGGGACCCATAAGCAATGGATTGTAAAAACAAGAATTATGTAAGCCATTGAGCCCTCAAGTGAAAGCTTGCACTATTGCGGGCACACGCAGAGACCCTGCGAGTATAGAAATTGTTGTCAATCACTAAGATTTAGACAGATTATTTTTATAGGGTCTGAGTAATTGTATTATAATTGGAGGCTGCTATCAAGCATCAAGTTTAGTATGGCAGGTTAATCAATTTTAGAACACGGGAACACAAAATGTCATAGAACATAAAATTACTTGAGCACGCTTGGTTGAAGCAATCCCGGGCCTCAGCTTTGTGACCTTTACACTCTGTCCAACCGTGGGTTGAGATGCATTTGCGAGTTCTTTGTTGCGTTCCATTTGAACATGTTACTGAACATCTGTTCCATGGTCCCCAGTGCAACCACTGTCCTTCAACTGTCAACAGATAAGAGGAATATAAATTCTATGTTATAGCTTTTCTCATAACTATCAGCAGGCCTGGTGTCCAGTCTTACCACTGTATTCTTTCATGGAAGAGGGTTGGCCTTATGTGATGGCTAATACTTTAAAGCTTTCTCATATATAAAACTGAATCAACAAATTGTCCCTCCCTCCCTCCCTTCTCCATTTTCAAATTTGCTGTCTCCAAATAAAACAGAATTCACTAGCAAAGATGGGTGAAGGTAGTCTGCAATAACTTGTCCAACTCTCACTTTGATTTCAACTTTTCTGGCTAGTGTTGCCTGGGACACTGTTAAGGCCAAGAGATCATGGCTTGGACATAATTGTAAGTGTGAATTGGTTTACAATCACCCTTCTGCTTTGTGAAACCAAGCCATCTTGTTTCAGCAGTTCTGCTGCTACCTGGAAACTGTGGCTTAACCTAACAAACACAAAGATAATCCTATTTGAAAAATGAAAACTGGGCAATAGAAGTAGACCAGTTGATTGCCAGACCTGATGATATATGTATCAATTCAAGTACAACAAGCAAACATCCTTCACTTATAAACTGTCTTTTAATTCCCATCCAATAGAGAAAACTAATGTACATGTATATTATGTTGAATTCTCAGATAAAATCCAAAATACTGGATAGGGAATTATGGGTACATTTATCAGATCTTCCATATAATGGATCTTTCATTTGCTCAAAGTTTACTGTGTTCTATATTTTAAAACAGCTAATCAGTCCTGTGTTGCATTCTTCTGAAGCAATATAATAGAACTATCTAACAATGCAACTGCATAAAAAGCCATGCTATACAAAATGTTTGGACCAGAAACTTTGCGTATGACATCCTTCCATGATGGCACGGTCAGGAAGTTCCATGATATGATCAGCAGAATATGAAGCAGATTTGTTTTCAAGCTGGAGATTTCATTGTCAGTTTTACAATATTTCATTTTAATATGGGACAGCCTGGATTAATTCACAATTCAGGAGGGTATTCTTCAGATAAATCCAACCATACTTAAAAACAGAAATTCAACAGATGCCAGTTATATAGTTATAACTGTTCAATTCAACAAGCCCACAATTTTTCAAATTAAAACAAATAAAGAAAAAAACTAAATATTTGATAGCTGTGGAACAGTTAATTTAAAGGAAAGAAAGAGAAGTGATAGACATTTGCCTTGGTCAGTCACGCAAAATAGGTTGCGTCATATCAGCTGCCAGTTTCATACTTGACATTAAGTTGTACTGCGGCCATGGAATCAAATATCACATGCTGTTCATGATCAGCTATCATCTACATTATACCAGAGGTGAATTTTATATCAAGGTTTACTTTTATTTAGTGACAGGCAAGTTATTATGCTTTATTTAAGGGATGCAGAAAAATCTGTATATACATTAGATCATGCAGCAGTTATAATACAGCAATATTTATTACTTCTGTAAAAAAACCCACTAAAGCTGTTCCCAGTGTCTCAGCTGGCAAATGTGTTGCCTTCAATGACTTATAGTTCAGTACTATTCAGGTGCTAAATTCAAGTAATGGTGCTCACAGGACTGTTCTCTAACAAACCAAGTCACATTTTAAACTAAAATTAAAGGGAGATAAATATAATTCTGCACACAAGAGCACATGAGCTCATGTATTGAAGGTCTATGTAGACTGTAGACTGTCACGATAGACTGGTGAAAACCAAACATTTGCATAAAGTGCATTGGACCCATGACAATCTCACAATTGACCTACTAATCTAGGAGGTTATGAAACACATCAAATGGACTCTGGGGAGACAGGTTTTGCAAGTCTGTTTGCTCATGAGAAATAGAGAAAGTAAATGGAACCCATGAAACCAGGCTTCAGAAATGATTAACATTTCTTATGTTGTTTGTGACAAAATGACTGAGTATGGATAAATACATTCGACCACAGCGTCAGAGACAAAGTGAGTAAATAGAACAGATAGCATACTGGAGCAGAGCATGGTTATTTATGATAAGCTATGCCTGAAAACAAAAGATGCTTCCTGTAACAAGGCTCACGAGAGAAGAGAACTTGTTTTTCTTCATATATGGTAAGTTGACTGTAAATGACTATTAGGGCCTTGCGATAACATTCACCAGATTAAAATTGATCATGGTTCTTTATTATAAGCTAAGAGTGAAAAACAGTATTTTGGGTTATAGAGGCAGAGATCATTGTAGATTGAAACTAGTCATGGTTATAAACAGAAGTCACATATCAGAATTTTCCACTTTGCCACATGTAATTGGTAGCCAAACTACTGAACAACTTGATATAGTGGTTGAGTCAATGAACTCAATAGATAAGCTATTCCTGACTCATGTTATCATTACTTATGAAAGAAACAAGGAGGAAAAAAAAAACTAGTTCTCATGGATACAAACACCACTGATCATTTTCTTCCCTGGTTTTTTCACTTGTAATATCCACGTCTTTTCTATTCTTCTCAGGTTGGATTTTCTCACTTAATGATATTTGTGGCTGCAGATGAATATTTTTGAAGTCAATTTTTACGTTGTTTGGAAGATTCTGGAAGGATTAGTACTTGCCTGAGTACAGTAGGTACTTCTGTGACTATGTCATGGGGACTTCATTAAAGTCTAACCAGGCCAAAACTGGTATTAGAGAGATCTGAAGCTAATGCTCCTAACAGTTTCTGTGATAATTAGGTCATATTCATGTAATCTCTATATAGTTTCAGTAATGCAATAGCCTTCACTTTATCAGTGAACAAGACATTTTTAGTTACACCAAAAAGGTGGATATCCTCATACACTTTGGGTTTGATCAAACATAAATGTCAACTCTGTTTCTCTCTCTATAAATTTGCCAGAACTGCTGAGATTCTTCATCATTTTCTGTTTTTATTCAAGATAAATAGATACTGCTGATTGCTGATTACAGCATATTCCACAGACCATGTAGCAACACTGAACAAAAAAAGAACATTTCAGATAATGTCACAGGAAGCATTTTAGACTTGACACAAGCCACACAGGAACAGACGAAATCTGCCAACTCCAACAGAGAGGAAAACGCTACATTAAGAAATAGTGAGTGGTCTGTGAGAGCAATCTGTTTTGAGCCAGCAAGCCGATCAAACACTGAGGATTGCACAAGCCAAAACCAATAAAATCAATCCTTGTACAAAAGGGAAAAATCTTAAATGACACAGTAATGCAGGCTGAATGAACACATTACATCTCCAATTGCAAATAGAATGAAGTAGGGCTGGCAAAATTAAATTCAGAGTTACAAGAGACAACCTCATATTCCGGAAGCAGAGAGACAAGAAAATCATTCACTGAGCCATTTAGAGCAGATAGGCATTGGTAATTTAAGGAAATACTTGATTCTGGTCTAACACAAATATATTTGGGAGACAAGGGGAATGCAGCAGGAGTCTTAGTCAATCTCCAAAGCACAGAAAAGTCTTCATCAAAGCTAGGTAGAGCAGAAAGTGGGAAAACAGCCATTACAGCCCCAAAGCATAAAAAAATTCTCCAATACAGCAGCTAAAATGGGAAAACCTTGATTACTGCAAATAAAAACCTTTAAATAAAATACCTGATCGTGTTTGGAAGCTATGGTATCAGAAATAATATTGCCAGAAGACTTAATATTAGAAACAAATCTTGAGGCATAGAACATACCTGGAAAGTAAGGCAGAAGCTGAATCCTTCTGCACACAATTGCAAGTATAGGAGCTGATGTTATTGCTCACCAAGGAGTAAATAAAACATCAAAAAAATTCAAGGAGACACTGCAAACTTTTGACAATAATTTCAACCTTAGAACTATAAAAATTCTTTGAAGGGTAAGATTCAAAACAACTGTGCAACATGAATCTACAGATGTTTCATTAATGATCTCTACAGGCTTGTGAAGAGATGAGAATATGGTGACTGAACAGAACTCATAAAAGATTGGATTGTCCTCACATACCTGATGATTGTGTTAGATTTATTACAGAAGACCTTACTCTAAAGGAAACATTCAGATGGTGAGTGAAGCAGAGGTCTGGAAGCAAATCAGATCAATCCTAAGAGGAGAAGATAAAACTTGGTACAGGCAATCAGTGGAATTTATGCCTTTGTGATTTTATTCCTTGAGTAATAGAATGTAGCAAATTGGTAGACAGTGGACCCTACAAATCTTGCCAATACTGTGGAGCAAAGACATCCCACAGATGCGAATAATGTCCAGCTTTAAAAGCCAAATGCTTTTATTGAAGGACACTTGCAGAAAAATGCCAAAGCAGGACACAGCCAAAGCGAAGTTCCAAACAACTACCCACACCAGTGAAATAAAATGAAGTAGAATAGTCTCCATTAGAAGATGAACTTAAAGGCATGCAGACATTTATGTCAATGGGAATATTACAAACATCAAGTTAGACATGGGATCAAGCTTCTTAGTATTATCAGATAGTGAGCTTTAGTTGACAAAGCACCGCTGTAGCCAATAGATGTTCAACTACATGATCTGAGGTATTACACTTAATGTTGGAAATATGCTTTGAGCAACTCTCCACATAGGGGCAGAAAATACTAAGATACAAAAAAAACTTCACAAACAAGAACCAAAAGGGCTGTGGATGCTGTAAATCAGTAACAAAAACAGAAGTTACTGGAAAAGCTCAGCAGATCTGGCAGCACCTGTGAAGAAAAGAATCAGAGTTAACATTTCAGGTCTGGTGACCTTTCCTCAGAACTGAGGAAGGGTCACTGGACCCGAAACGTTAACTCTGATTTTTGTCTTCACAGATGCTGCCAGACCTGCTGAGCTTTTCCAGCAACTTCTGTTTTTGTTCACAAACAAGAAATTTCCTTCCTGAATAGAAGGGTGTGTGTTGCCTTCAATTTTATCCCAATTTGTTCAAAAAGTTAGAAAAGTTAAAAAGCAAAGGTGAACATTACACTGAGGGAAAACACATACTTTTATGCACATAGG